TTTTATTTTTTATTTTTTTAAAATATTTTTATTTATTTCTAGGAGAGAGAGAGACAGCGCGAGCAGGGGAGGGTCAGAGAGAGAGGGAGACACAGACTCTGAAACAGGCTCCAGGCTCTGAGCTGGCTGTCAGCACAGAGTCCGACGCTGGGCTTTAACCCATGAACCGCGAGATCATGACCTAAGCGAAAGTCGGACGCTTAACCGACTAAGCCACCCAGGCGCCCCAAGATTTTTTAAAATGAGTTTCTTCATTTAGTAGTTTTGTAAAGCTGCCATAACAAATGATCACAACTTAGTAGCTTCAAGTGACAGAAATTTGTGATGTATTATTATTTATTAGTATCTTTTAGTTTAGAAGGCCAGAGGTATGAAATGAAGGTGTTGGCATTCTTCTGGAGGCTCTGAAGAAGAACCCATTCTATGCTTCTCTCCTAGGTGGCTGCTGGCTGAACTTGGTCTTATTCCTTGGCTTATGTCTGCCCTCCCGTTTCCGTCTTGGTCAGTCTGCTCATGGCCTTTTCTTCTGTCTCTGTGTCTCCTTCCCTATGTGTCATTGAGACACCCCTTAATTCCAGAATGATCTCATTTTGGGATCCTTAATTTAATTACATCTGCAAAGACCCTATTTTCAAACAAGGTCATGTTCACAAGTGCCAGTGGTTAGAACTTGGACATATCTTTTGGCGGTGCACAGTTCAACCCACTATACTTCCTAGTAAGAAATATTAAACAAGAGTGTGATGAACTTTGGTATGGAGCACATGCCACGTGATTGCTTGTTTGGGTGTCCATGTGCCTTATCCAGTCATTCAGTCCAAGCTTCCTTCTTGCTGCTCACCTCCAGCTGCTCATATGAACAGTGGGGGCAATGCAGAAACATGCTGAGCCTCACAGATGGCTAAGCTGCCAGCCTTTCCCTGTTGTCCTTGACTAGCACACACTGAGGGGTGACCAAGGAGAGCTGCACTCTTCCCAAGTCTCATGAACACCCTACAAACTCCAACCAGTATAAGAAGAGAAGTAACCCTTTAAATCATTGTTTTCTGTTTATCACCACACCTAAACCTTTGTAGTGGATTTTCCCCTGTTTCCAATACATTTTCCTTTAAAAATCATTAATGATAGTTTTCTTACAACATGGTTTTAATCTAAGTGCATTAGAACTGCATGAAAACCCTGAAGGCTTAACATTACTAAGGCCACTAAAAGGGTGGGAGAGTCAAGGCTACTTGTGAAGAAGCTTTGGATTTAACAGGACCATTAGGGGTGCCTGGGTGGCTCAGTCAGTTGAGGGTCCTATTTCAGTCATGTCATGATCTCATGGTTTGTGGGTTCAAGCCCTACATTGAGCTTTGTGCTGACAGTGCAGAGCCTGCTTCAGATTCTCTGTCTCCCCCTCTCTCTGCCCCTTCCCCATGCATGCTCTCTCTCTCAAAAATAAGTAAATATTTTAAGAAAAAGCAAAAACAGGACCATTAGATACTGGAGGTTAGACTCAGGGAGAGACACACAGCAGGACATCCTTTTTACCCTGTTTCTTTCCTAGTCAATTTGATGCTTATGTCTTTCTGCCTTGTAGCACTCAGAGCAATTTTTAAAATATTTCATCTATATTTGACTGATAATCCTCTCTCTCATGTGACTTTTATGAAATGCCAGAGCTTACTTAGCTTCTTAAATTACAGTTTCTGTTGGCCTTATCCATGACATAATTCTAAAAATGTCTCTTCTTGATGAGAAAGCTATGGACAAAAAAAATGTTATCCACCACTTTTCTATCCCAAGCAAAGGAAGCCTACCAACAGTAGTTGTTATGATCTTGAGTTTTAAAAAATCAAACATGAGACTCTAAAATGGGAGCTGGCAAACATTGTTCTGTAAAGGGCTAGAGAGTAAACATGTCAGGCTTTGTGGACCATGTGGTGTCTGTCACAACTACTCAGCTCTGCTACTGTAGCATGAAAAGAGCCTTAGATAATATTCAAAGGAACAAGTGTGATTGTGTTCCAATAATACTTTATCTACAGGTGGTGGCTGGAATTAGTTCAGTTTGCTGACCTGTGGTCTAAAATATCAGCTAGTTCTCTATGTTTCTACTATACAGATGTATATCCATATGGAAATACTAGGGAAGTTAGCACAATTTAAGATTCTTTCTCATAATGTTGGAAACATTTTGGAAGCCTCTTTCATTCCTCATTATATACCAGAACCTAGCATGGGAGCTTTTATTTAGTAGACACTCGAATGTTTACTAAATGAATAGCAAATGAGTAAGGCCTGAGCTCTCCGAGCATGCCAACCTCTGCAGAGTGCCCACTATGCCTTGTTCAGCTCCAGTACACATCAAATTGTTTAGTTGAAGTAATGAACGTTCAATATCCCCAAGCACTGGAAACCCTTGTATGGTGAGGCTCTTGTCTTTTTCTGTAGGAAAGTTATGAGATCTGTGCTTCTGTTATGGATCAATATAGCCACATTACCTTTCTATAGAAAGAGAATAGAGATCTATATCTATGATCTATCAATTCTCTCTCTGGCTCTATCTGTTCCTATCAGTTGACTCATTGATAGCAATGGCAATGATAAGACTCTGAAGCAAAAGGGACAGGTGACAGCACTTTATTGCCCAAAGCCAGGGGGTTGCAATTATCATACCAACAGGCAAAACTGAAGGGCAGCCAAAGGGGCTTGACCTGGAGGGAGATGTGGAGATGATTAAGAGAGCCTTGTATCTCTAAAGGCAAAATAGATGAATAGCCAATTAGGGTGCTGCTTAAAATATCAACCAAAAGAAGGCATAGGAATAGCAGATAGAGGGTGGCTGCCTCAATAGAAAGTCTTGGTCTTTTTGCCCAGATCCCCAAAGTTAGCAAGTTTTCAGACCCAGAAACCATTGGTTAAAGAGGTGGCCAAGTCTACAGAAGGAAGACTTTGAAATACCATGGCAAAAAATATACTTTATTAGTTTCCCCCCAATTTCCTCAAAAGAGACCTATGATATTTACTTGAGAAAATACACACTGTGGAAAGAGGAATATCCAAATATTCTGAGGGTACTCTGTCTGAATTAACATTGATTTATAGAGTTTCGAATCATTGTGGTACATACAGTGGAGGCACTGAGGGACCCAGATCTGAAATAAACAGAATTCTGGCCCAAGTTTGGCTCTCAAAGGCCCAGGAAGTTTGTAGAACCCTCTAGGAGCCAATTCCGCGGTCCCCAAATGTATGCTTGAAATTGACACATTGGCTGTTGAAGGAACTTCACCTTGAATTCATCTCATTCAAACCAAATGAGACCTATCACAGTGGAGAAGGTGAAGTGGAAGCTTCTGAGACTCTACCTCTACAGTCCCATTCCCTCTATCTCCCATTCCCTTGCCAGTCCTGGATAAGGTGGTAAATCAAAAACCACTGTATTGGGTGGTGATGATGGGGGAGGGGGGGATGGGAGGGTGGCTCCTCTAAATGATCTTAAGAATGCAGGGCAGGGTGGGGTGGGGGCGGGGCTGACTCCATTTAATTCACTAGTCTGACTTTGCAGAAACCAAATGAATCTTGGAGGGTGACTGTAGGCTACTATAAACTCAAATAATAACCCTGATTGTGGCTACTGTGCTAGATGTGTTATCTTTGCTGGAGCAGATTAATGTGGCCTCAGGTACATGATCTGGCATTCTTTTTAAGCCCAATCAAGAAAGATAAAAAAAAAAAAAAAGGAACAGAAACTGTTTGCATTTACATGGAACAATATACATTTACAGGTTTTTTTGGGACCTACATTACCTTCTGTTGTTATAATATGATCAGATGAGATCCTACACATCCTCATCCAGTTGATCAGGTGAATGAGCAAGAATGGCTAGCACATGGAGATATTGGTAAGACATACCAATATATACAGAGTATAGGAGTTTAATTTGATGGCAACTTGAGTGAACTTCCACTGTTTTTTTTAAAAAAACTTGTTTTCAATGCTTATTTATTTTTGAGAAAGGGGGGGAGAGAGAGACAGAATACAAGCAGGGGAGGGGCAAAGAGAGGGAGACAGAGTCCAGGCTCTGAGCTGTCAACACAGAACCTGACATGGGGCTCAAACCCATGAAGCATGAGATCATGACCTGAGCTGAAGTCGGATGCTTAACTGACTGAGCCACCCAGGTGCCTCATGAACTTCCACTGTTGTAAAGTATTTAGGGATCCATCTGGGTCAGGCCAAGTGAGGACAACTCTTCCAGAAGACAAATTGCTGCATCTTGCCTTTGTACCAGAAAGAAGAAAACAAAATTCCTTTGGCTTCTGGTGCAACATATTCCACATCTAGGAATGTGCTCCAGCCCATATACTGGGTGACAGGAATAGCTTTCTGCTTTGAATGAGGCCTGGAGCAGAGAGTCAGAATTGTAGTACAAGCAGCCCTGCTCCTTGGGTCATATGATCTGGCAAACCCTAAGCTATTGGAAGATTAGTGATGAGAAAATATGCAGTGTGGCATCACAAAACAGACCTCTGGGGTTTTGGAGCAAGACCATGGTATCTGCAACAGAAACTATATGCTTTACTTCTTTTTTTAGAGAGAGAGCGCGCGCAAAATCAGGGAAGGGGCAGAGGGAGAGGGAAAGAGAGAATCTCAAGCAGACTCTATGCTTAGCTTGGAGCCTCATGTGGGCTTGATCTCACGACCATGAGATCATGACCTGAGCTAAAATCAAGAATCAGATGTTTAACAGACTGAGCCACCCAGACACTCTGAAACTTACATACTTTTTGAAACGTGTTCCTGTTGTGTCACTAGCAAAGACAGAATTCTTGATTGTAAGACACCAAGTAACCATGTGTCTGGAACTGTCCATTATGAGCTAGGTTCCATTAGACCCACAGAGTCATAGACTCAGGCAGGCCCAGCAACATTCCAAAACAAGATTGAAATTGTGCATCAGGGATCAAGGCTGAGCAAGACCAGAAGATAGAGTTAACTGCATGAGCAGGTAGTCCAGACCCTCATATCACCCAACACTGGTGTACCAGCAGGTCCCCTCAGATCATTCCTACACTATGTGGGGGGGCACATCTAACCAGCTTATGGAATAGAAAAAGCTTGAAGATGTTTTGTGGGTAGGTCAGCTTAGTGTGTGGATGAAAACCAAAAAGGACAGTGGTTTAATTACGCTCAGAGAGGGAGGGGACTTGAAAATAGTGGTGAGGGAAAATGGTCCCAATGGACAAAGCTCAGAATGGTGTGCCTGTTACTCATTTTGTGTGGATGGAGCAGTGGCCTGAGGGGAGAATGAAGACATACTCATGTGTAGAGGGAATAGTTGAATGGGCTGGTCATAGGTCTGGAAGGAAAAGGACTGAAAAATTGAAGACAAGGGAGTTTAGCATCAAGGAATGTGGATGTATTTAAGGGAATGGAATTACATTGGCTGAAATTAACAATGGTGTTCTCAGGTCTGATGGCATGTGTAAGGCCATGCTTGTGTTTTAAACTTTGGAGTCTCTTCTTTCGTTGATGTATTTGCTATTAACCTCCTTATCCTCTATTCTGATTCCTTACAGGTATCAGAGGACATCACAGTGTTTCCATCAAGACTGAAAGGACTAGAACCTAGCCTAAATTAAGGGAGATTTACTAAGAAGGTATTTGGTGTTCTCATGGCAATGACGACTCTTAAGCTTATGGGAATTTGAACTGGCATCTGGAAAAGCTTCAGTAACAAGGCTTTCTGTGTGTTTGTGCGTGTATGTGTGTTAACACAATCTCTGCCTTTCCTTTTTTTCTATGTTCCATTCTCTTGCTCAATATATTCATGGCTTAAAATGATTGTTCTAGCCCTCACTAAATTTAACTTTTTAATTCAAATGTCTAGTAACACCTATGAAGTCTTTCCGGTTTTTAGTTCAAGTTATCAGGAAATGAGAATGTGATAAGATCTCTAAACAGCAGATAAATGGGCTTATTCTAGATCACCCTTGGTCAGAGAAAGAGAGACAGAGACCTGGAGTAGAGGGATTCTGTGGCATAAACACAGCTGCCTAGTTCCACCCCTTATGCACTGGTGTATGTATGTTGCCATTCCTAGGGAAGGAACTAGAATTTGTAAACCATTTTAATCATAAATTAGAGATGGAAACATTGTATCTGGTCCTGCCAAAAATTGTTTCCATTTTCATCTTGACCAGCTTACATTTGAGAAAACTTTCCTGCTTTGTATTGTATTCAGGAAAGATGACAAGGACTTAGAGTTCCTAATCCCCCCTCCCCCCTGACTTTTCTGTACTATTCACTATCCACTATCCATCAAAATTGTATGAAAAAGAAGCTCTAACACTATTTCAGGGAATAACAACATACTCATCCTAATGATGTTATTTTTCTTTAAGATCAACTTAGACAGAATGGTTGATCAGCTCCAAGGAACATGGAAATCCATTTCTTGTGAAAATTTTGAAGAATATATGAAAGAGTTGGGTGAGCCATTTTTACCTGCATATTGTAGCCAGTAAAAATGGGAGATTTGATAACACAGAAACTTGCTTTATATGATATCAGATCAATCCTTGACCCCTCCCTCCAATAGAAATGTAAAACCAATCACATAGAAACAATCAGCCTAGGTTCAGGTTCAGGGCCTAGATACCGTTCTATTCAACTGTAGTTGTAATTGACAGAATCCTGTCCTCACATAATTTATCATGGATTTACCCAGATAAAACATACACGTGCCATATACAAAATGGCAAATGGTTTCCATAATTTAAAGCAAAGGGTCATAAATATTTTTTTAAAATGATCATTTTGCAAACATTTGCTCTAAATGTTTAGAGACTCTTCAGAATAGATCTTGCTTCCCAGCTGATTTGGGTGGCTGCTGGCCCTCCTTGGTGTCTGGCCACCATAGTTCAATCTCTGCTCCTATTGTCACATTGCCTTCTTCTCTTCTGTAGTCTGATATCTCTTCTCCTTTTCTTATAAGAAAAGTTTCTTATAATAGAATTGTGATTACATTGAGGGTCCACATGGATGATTCAGGAAAAACTCCTGATTTTGAGATCCTGGAGTTAATCATATCTACAAAGTCCTCTTTGGCACATAAAGTGATATACTTGGGTTCCAGGGATTAGGGTGTGAATATCTTTGGGGATCATTATCTAAGACAGCACAACTTATTATGTTTCACATTGTGAGTTCATGAACCGTATTACAGTGTTTCTATTTATAGAGTATTAGGTATTAGTAACAATAACAAAACTTTGTATCTATATGTACTGACACAGAAAATCTCCAAGATATAGGGATAGGGGAAAAAGTAAGTTGAATACCAATTGTTATTCAATGCTCGAATAGAGCGTTTATATTTTTAAAAATCCTAAATATAGTGGCAATAGTTGTATAACATTGTGAATGTACTTCATGCCACTTAACTGTATATTTTTAAATGGTTACAATGGTAAATTTTCTATGTGTTTTAGCATAATACAAAAATACATAATGGAAGAAAACAGACTCTATGTATGTGTACATATAAGAATGTAAGTGAAGAAATAAAGATCTTGAATAATCCACGCCAAAGTATTTTGTCTGTATAAATGAGAGCATTTTAAACTAGGGAGTTGGTTCACAGCTTTAATTTTCAGAGAGGCTTATGAACCAAGAAGATCAATAACTACTGGCCTAAGAAGAATAACAACCACCAAAAGTAGAGACTAATATTTTTCCTGCAAAATAGAACCTATTTTAACTTATAATGGGGGTGCTACTAGCTTCAGATATTTGAATTCATCCATTATCAAATCTGTTTAACTCACAAACCTAGATAGTAAAGCATTATACAGCTAACATGAGTTTCCAAAGCCAGTAACAGATTTTTAAAAAATTTTTTAAGTTTATATATTTTTGGGAGAGTGATAGAGCATTAGCAAGGGAGGGACAGAGAGAGAGAGAGAGAGAGAGAGAGAGAGAAAGAGACACAGAATCTGAAGCAGGCTCCAGGCTCTGAACTGTCAGCATAGAGCCTGACGCAGGGCTTGAATTCACAAGCTGTGAGGTCATGACCTGAGCCAAAGTCAGACAGTTAACTGACTGGGCCATCCAGGCACCTCCAGTAACAGATTTAACTATAGTATCCTTTTATCTGTTTTTCAGGAATAGGAAGAGCCAAAAGGAAACTTGGTTGTCTGGCAAAACCCACCGTGACCATCAGTGCACAGGAAGGTCTGATCACTATAAAAACCAAAAGCATCTTTAAAAATAATGAGATCTCCTTTAAGCTAGGAGAAGAGTTTGAGGAAACCACACCAGGTGGCCGTAAAACCAAGGTGAGGCCTTCAACACTCTTTTAGATACATTTCATAAGAATGCTGATTCAAGAGGTGCCTGGGTGGCTCAGTGGGTTAAGCGTCTGACTTTGGCTCAGGTCAGGATCTCACGGTTTGTGGGTTCAAGCCCTGTGCGGGGCTCTGTGCTGACAGCTCAGAGACTGGAGCCTGTTTCAGATTCTGTATCTCTCTCTCTCTCTGACCCTCCCCTGCTCATGCTGCCTGTCTCTCTCTGTCAGAAATAACTAAAATATTAAAAAAAAGAATGCTAACTCAAAATCATTCTAAGTAAATAAAGAATTATAGCAAACACATCTAAAGTCTGTACTAGATAGACTTTGGACTAAAACCTAGGTCTAAGGATTTTAAATTTTAATATGCGTACAAATCTTCTGTGATGCTTATGAAAAACGCCTCCTTGTAGGTCCCATCCCCACAGGCTCTGATATCTGGGGTAGGCACCTGAAAACTGTATTTCTAAAAATAATTCTGATGCAGATGTTTAGCAGACTTATTTTTATTTCCCTAGATTCTTCTCTCAGAAACAAAAGTTCTGCCTTTCTACTTTGTAGCAGTTTTCTACAAAGCATAAAGTCACAAAGAATACAATGTATATTAGCCAGTATAGGTGAGGTTATGCTACATTGACAGATTAAGCACAGACCTTCAGTGGCTTAACACAATGGGAATTGCTTTCTAATTAATAGTACATATTCAGCATTGTTGTGGGGTTGGAGAAGCTTCTGTGTGTGTGGTGGAGAGGGGACAGGAAACAGGGTCTCTATCCCTCTTATTTCTCAGGGAAAAGAAAGCTTTAATTACTGTTCAAGATAATGTTATATTTTTACTCTTATAAACCCCCCCCCCACCGAATAATCAGCCAACAAATTTAGTGTTGGCAAAGTCTTAAAATATAAGTGAAACTGTAAACACCATTCTAAAACTACCTGAGAGTATGACAAAAGCTGAAAAGAATTTGGTACTTGATAAAATTTTAGTGTTCACATGTGACAATCTGGGCTGAATTTGGTTTTATCTGTTTTTCAGAATGTGGTAAACTTAGATAACGACTCTTTGGTTCAAGTACAGGACTGGGATGGCAAGGAGACCACCATAAGGAGAAAGGTGGTGGATGGGAAAATGGTGGTGGTGAGTGAGCTGTTTGTCATTATGTTTTTCACCAGCTATAACACACATATATAACATCACTCAGGTAGCTTGTTCTAAAATAATGGAAGTAAATGCAATTTTTCTTTTTGTCTTGCTTTATAAGAATGGGGGAAAACATTGGCAGATAAATATATGATTATAAATGGTATAAAATTTGCATGGATTGAGGAACTAAAAAACTAAAGAAAATTTAAAAAATGTGTCGCTTACTTTTTTGACTTGTGCATAAGCTAAAACAAGGATGCATTTGTGCAAGAAAGATTTCTGCAGGGATTTCAAGGTGTTGTTAATCCTTAGCCCCATGCCAGGATTAATTTCTCACTATTTTCTAGCTCAATACCAAACACATGAAAAGGAAATTTAAACTAATGCAAAGCTCAAGTGGTATCTACTTGGTGTATGGATGAGTTGACATAATCAAAAACTAACATTTCTGTGGCTATTGTGTCTGCATATTTTCATATATGATTTACTGACTCCTCACAATAATCCTGTGAGGTAAGACTTATTAACACATTATTAGTGAGAAAACTGAGATTCAGCCACTGACTTACCTAAGGATATTCGGCTAGAAAAACATGGTGGTGTTGGGATTAAAACCCAGGTTGGCTTCATTCCAAAGTATAATTTTTGAGTCCATCCTGTTTTCTCCAAGGATGGCTTCTCAGTTCATCTTTCTCCCTACACAGTGAAGGAATGTATGCCAATGATTCTTCTTCCCAAACCACCAGTTCCACAAAAATGAACCAGAAATCTATTTTGTACATAATATCAAATAGTTCTAAGGGAATATGTAAGAATCGTGAGGAGATAAAACACAAACAAATCAATCCTCATTTCTTAACTTAAGGATATTTTTTCTTTCAATAATGAAGAGTACATTTTCCTTATAAAGTAGTAAGTAGAGGACTAAGGATACTTGACTTTATTGCTCCTTATAATTACATAATCACCAAAGAGATACATTTTTAGTTCATTAGGAAGAATATTAGATTCAGAATCTAAAATGTGCATTTCCATCTCTGCCATTCAGTACTTATGTGACTTTGGATGAGTCATTTATCCTTTACAAAATCAGTTTACTTGCCTTTAAAAAATGTAGAAATGTCTTCATGTTTTTTTTGAGAGAATTAAATACCATGATGTATCTATTAGTGCTCTAAAAACCATAAAATACTACATCAATGTATCCTAATGTCATTATTTGAAAAATGTAGCGTTATGTAAAATAACAAAAATGCTTTAATGTAGGCATTTAAAATGTTTGAATAAGGATTTCAATTTCTATACTATATGCGTTGTTTATATATATATGTACATACACATTGTATATTTACTATATATATACACACATATTATATATTTACCATATATATATACCACATATACCCTATATTAATATATGATTTGCCATACATACACACACATACACACACACACACACACACACACACACACACAGCAAAATCACCTAATAGTTGGTATCTATAATTCTCTATATAGATCTCTTTTCAAAAGCTTTAAGGCATGTACCTATGGATAGTACCTAGTTTGCATTGTTCTAAAAGTCAGTTTCACCAACAATACTGATATATCTCATCCTTTGTCTTCTAGGAAAGTGCCGTGAACAATGTTATCTGTACTCGGACATATGAGAGAGTACAAACAAACTCACCCTCCAACTCTTAGGCACTCCCAAACTGTGCTAAAAAACTGCTAAAGTAGCTTAAATAAAACTCCGAAGTAAAATGTTATGACTGATGGTATGAGAGAGCCTGTGCACAAGCGTTGACAATTTTGGTTTCCCTGCTTTGTATGCCTGTATTCTATGGTGCTTTGGTATTGGTGGCTATGGGAGACCAGTGTGATAGTCACAGCGCTATAATATGATCAAAGGCACCTCATGTTGATTTTTTTTCTCATTCCACATATTATGTTAACCCTTTATGTTCGACCTGCACTAATAGGGAAAGTAATATTAATTTATTAAAATATCTTTTTATAGGGGCTGGAGATGCATCAGAAAACAAAACACAAACATCTATGCATTGTTAAAGTTTACAATCAAATTGCACTGGAGACTGTTTGAGATGATTCAGATTTCATATTTAACTTATTACAGTATATGATGATTTGTATTTAGAAAGAATTTTGTCCTAAAAGCTTAAATTTTTTTCTTTCATAACTGAGTTTTTATTGGTTGTTCTGAGGATCAGTACACACATTTCAATTTGTACACAATTCTTAATATAAGTTCTAAAAATCTAAAAAACACATAGTTGTCATTCTTTTCTCAAAGTTATTCCATGATGTCCAGCTTAAAATTTGGAGGCAAATTTTCTTTAACAGTATATCAAGTACCAATATCTTCAATGCTGATACACTGTTACATTAAGTCCAATTTTATTAACAATTTAGTATTAGGCACTACATACATTTTCAATCTTGCGCAGGACATTAACAAACTTTCTAGGAAAACTGGATTACTACAACCAGACCTTACAGAATATACAAAATTCTCACAGGGAGAGCCAAGATCAAGGAATGGTTTTCTTTGGAAACAATTCTACCAAAAACAATATCGGAATAGAAGTACTTTAAAATGTTCAAGATATGTCATCTGCAAAGAGTGAAAGTCTGACTTCTTCTTTGCCAAGTTGTATGCCTTTTATTTCTCTTTGTTGTCTGATTTCTGAGGCTGAGACTTCTAGTACTATGTTGAACAACAGTGGTGAGAGTGGACATCCCTGTCGTCTTCCTAACCTTAGAGGGAAAGCTCTCAGTTTTTCCTCATTGAGGATGATATTAACTGTGGGCCTTTTATATTTGGCCTTTATGATGTTGATGTATGTTCCTTCTATCCCCACTTTCTTAAGGGTTTTTATCAAGAAAGGATACTGTACTTTGTCAAATGCTTTTTCTGCATCTATTGAGTGGATCATATAGTTCTTACCCTTTCTTTTATTAATGTGGGCTATCACGTTCATTGGTTTCACTCCTGGCAGATGACATTACTCTGCGCATGTAAAATATGAAAGTCTCCACCAAAAACCTGCTAGAACTGACAGGTGAATTCAGAAAAGTCACAAGATATAAAATCAATGTACAGAAATTGGTTCCATATCCCAACAATGGAGCAGCAGGAAGAGACATCAAGGAATTGATCCCATTTACATTTGCACCTAAACCCCTAAGATACCTAGTAATTAACCTAACCAAAGAGGTAAAAGATCTGTATGCTGAAAACTTTAGGAAGCTTATGAAAATAATTGAAGACACAGAGAAATGGAAAAACATTCCATGCTCATGGGTTGGGAGAACAGATATTGCTAAATCAATCTACACGTTCAAAGCAACACCTATCAAAATAATACCAGCATTCGTCACAGAGATAGAACAAACAGTTTTAAAATTTGTTTGGAACCAGAAAGGGCTCCAAATATCCAAGGTAATGTTGAAAAATAAAACCAAAGCTGGAGGAATCACAATTCCAGACTTCAAACTGTATCACAAAGCTATAATAATCAAGACAGTATGGTCCTGGTACAAAAACAGATCCATAGATCAATGGAACAGCATAGAAAACCCAAAAATGGGCTCACAAATGTATGGCTAACTAATTTTCAAAAAAGCAGGAAAGAGTATCCAATGGAAAAAAGATAGTCTCTTCAGCAAATAGTTCTGGGAAAACTGGACGGCAACACACAGAATAATGGAACTGGACTACTCTCTTACACCACACACAAAAACAAATTCAAAATGGATGAAAGACCTAAATGTGTGAGAGAAAACCATCAAAATCCTAGAGGAGAAAACAGGCAGCAACCTCTTTGATCAAGGCCTCAGCAACTTCTTATTAAACATGTCTCCAGAGGCAAAGGAAATAAAAGCAAAAATGAACAATTGGGACCTCATCAAGATAAAAAGCTTCTGCACAGCAAAGGAAATAATCAAGAAAACAAAAAGTCAGTCAATGAAATGGGAGAAGATACTTGTAAATGACATATTGGATAAAGTGTTAGTAACCAAAATCTATAAAAAACTTATCAAATTCAACACCCCCCCCTCAAAAATCACAAATAATCCAGTGAAGAAATGGGCAAAGCCATGAATAGACACTTTTCCAAAGAAGACATTCAGATAGGTAATAGACACATGAAAAGATGTTCAACATCACTCATCATCAGAGAAATACAAATCAAAACCACAGTGAGATACTACCTCATACGTGTCAGTATGTTTAAAATGAACAACTCAGTCAACAACAGAGGTTGGTGAGGATGCAGAGAAAGAGGATCTCTTTTGCACAGCTGGTAGGAATGCAAATTGGTGCAGCCACTCTGGAAAACAGTGTAGAGGTCCCCCCCTCCAAATTAAAAATAGAACTACTCTATGACTCAGCAATTGCACTACTAGGTATTTATCCAAAGGATACAAAAATGTTGATTTAAAGGGACACATGCACCCCAATGCTTATAGCAGCACTATGAACAATAGCCAAACTATGAAAAGAGCCCAAATATCCATCGATTGATGAATGGATAAAGAAGATGTGGCATATATATATATATATACATATATATATGCATATATATGTACATATATATTTATATATGCATATATATGTACATATATATTTATATATATGCATATATATGTACATATATATTTATATATATGCATACATATGTACATATATATATTTATATATATATGCATATATATTTGGGATATTGAGATATTGGTCAAAAAGAATGCAATTTTGCCATTTGCAGCAACATGGGTGGAACTAGACTGTATTATGCTAAGTGAAATAAGTCAGAGAAAGACAAATATATGATTTCACTCATATGTGGGACTTAAGAAACAGATAAACATAGGGGAAAGGAAGGAAAAATAAGATTAAAAACAGAGAGGGAGGCAAACTGTAAGAGACTTTTAAATACAGAGAACAAACTGAGGGTTGCCTGAGGAGTGTTCGGTGTGGGGATGGGCTAAATGGGTGATGGGCATTAAGGAGGGCTCTTGCTGGGATGAGCACTGGGTGTTGTATGTAAGTGATGAATCACTGCATTCTACTTCTGAAACCAATATTACACTGTATGTTAACTTTGTATGTTAACTTATGTATGTTATTTAAATTTAAATAAATTGAAATCAATGTTCAAGACATGTTAAATGAACAACTGACTCCAAATTGCCACCAAGTATGCTTGGTGTTATAGGATATAAGAATTACCCCATCTATGGAATGTTAGGCCAGCACCCAAGACATTCAAAGCCTCCCATATTCAATATCCCACTAGTTTCTGGTTGTACCAAAAAATAAACAACCAGCAAATGATTTCACCTCTTTAAAAAAAAAAAGCATTTACACTTATGGGGTGCCTGGGTGGCTTAATCGGTTAAGCGACCGACTTTCACTTAGGTCATGATCTCGCGGTTGGTGGGTTCGAGCCCCGCGTCGGGCTCTGTGCTGACTGCCAGCTCAGAGCCTGGAGCCTGTTTCAGAGTCTGTGACTCCCTCTCTCTCTGACCCACCCCTGCTCATGCTGTCTCTCTCTCTTTCTCTCTCTCCTAGAAATAAATAAAACACTTAAAAAATTTTAAAAAACCATTTACACTCAAAAAATGGGATGAGGTGGGATTCCCTCCTTCTTAAAAATGTTTCTAGAGCTGCTAAAAAAAACCTAGCATTTACAAAATAGTTGATAACAATATTCCTCTGGATTACACAAGAAGGGCGACAGGGATGACTGATACCACATGGGATATGACACTCATCAGACTTGGCTCCTTTCTCTTCTGCTTCATCAGAGGCTGGACTCCTCATTTTTAGTTTCTCCATTTTCTGCAGGTACGTCTTCTTTTGTTTCTTGGTTAGCCACTTCAGCCTGTTTCCCTTTGCTCCCCCTTCCCCTTTTTGTTTGCACTTTTTTTTTTTTTGTCTGGAGATTTATCTTTTCCTGCCACCTCTTTTGGCTTCATTTCCCCTTTTGAAGGGGCAACCTCACCCTGGCTTCTCTCGGGCTCCTCCTTGGTCACCTCGTAGACATCGTGTGGGCAGGGCGGGCGCGTGGAGGGCGCCTGTCAGCCGCAGTGCGCCGAGGCTGGGCTGACTCCTAAATGTCCAGAATTTTAGATTTAATGTCTACATTGCTACACCCACTGACAGGAATAGAACTCTGTAATGAGGGGTCCTGGGTGGCTTAGTGGTTAGGTGTCCAACTCTTGGTTTCAGCTCAGGTTAAGATCTCACAGTTTCTGATTTCAAGCCCCTCTTAGGGGGTCTGCTCTGTTAGCGTGGAGCCTGCTTGGGATTCTCTCTCCGTGTCTTTCCGCCCCTCCTCCACTCATGCTGTCCGTGTCTCTCTCAAATAAATAAACTTAAAAAAAAAAAAAACCACCTCTGTAAAGAAGAATTTTGTTATAAACTTCGATGCTAATGAGCATTTTTTTAAATGTTTTATTTATTTCTAGGAGAGAGAGAGAGACAGCGTGAGCAGGGGAGGGTCAGAGAGAGAGGGAGTGACAGACTCTGAAATAGGCTCCAGGCTCTGAGCTGGATGTCAGCACAGAGCCCGACGCAGGGCTCGAACCCACGAACCGCGAGATCGTGGCCTAAGCGAAAGTTGGACGCTTAACCGACTAAGCCACCCAGGCGCCCCTCACTGAGTATTTTTTAACACAACCATTTATTTTTTTAGCCTCTCAGGGTTTCTCAGTTTCTTGCAGACCAGGGCAATTGTCTAAA